CACACTCAATTTCTACAAATTACCTACTCATTGACATAGGAAAGCCCTCAAACCCATTGATCAAATATCTAAATATAAAAGATCTCACTCGTTGAAAAGGGTTTGAATCTATGAAATTTCTCTCTTCAGTTTATTCTCCACAGGTTGAACCACTTGTTCTATCTTATTTAAAAAAAAAAAAAAGTAAACCTCTCTAATAACCACACATGTGCATGCCATCACATGGTGTTAACAGGTTTTGTCTTCAGCTTACATGGTTATTAAAGAAGGATTACTATCAGCTTTCAAAAAAAACAAAAGAAGGATTACTATCAAAACGCTCGAACATGCTCCCCTAGGGTTTCCTAGGGTTTTAGAGTGGCTGTAGAAATCGTGGGTGATCATCTCTTCTGTGTTTAAGTTATACTTGTGCCCCTCTAGCCTTCTTGCTACGCGTTGCCAAGGCAACCACATGTAACCCAAATGAGCCATTGCAAACTTATGATTCACTGCAAAAAAGGGTAATGAAGGATTAAAATCCGTAGCAGCCTAACTAAATCTGTATGTTTCTCTCATCTTTTAAAACCGAATGACTTTGAATGGAGAACTGGAATCAGTAAATTGAGTAAACAGGGCACAATAATATGGGGCCGTTTGGTGGAACTTAAATTTTAGTTTTAAGTAAATTCTTTTATTAGAATTTGAAATTTTAATGAAAGAAATATTTGAAATTAGTTTTTAAAATGACTTATAAGTAAATTTAAAAGAAGTTACACATTATAATTTTCTTTAAAATTGTTTCTAAAGCACTTAAAAAAGTTAAAATTCAAAAATTTTCTCTAACAAATTTTTAAATTTATGAAAGAAAAACTTACCTAAAAGTAGTCGGCTTAAAAGCCTAATCACAACGCCTCTAGAACGTGTCAGTCAAATTGAATGGAGAACTGAATTCATGGCCGGAGGAGTGCTAAAAGAAATGTAGCATCTAATTGCCACTTCAAAACAACAGTCGATGGAATGATCAAATTAAGTAAATGTGGAAGAGATGCATTAACAGCAGTCGATAGAATGACCAAATTGTGTAGATGCCAAAAAGATGCATTGGATATTTGGATGCAATTTTCAGGGGAGACAAAATTGAATCCATCGACGGTTGTTAATGAATCTCTTAAGCAAACCGGGAACAACGTCCCCGCATAAATATGATATTCTGTACATGTTAGTTTCATATAGCCACTTTGCCCCCAACATAGGGTTAAAAGAACACCACATGTTTCTTCAAATTTTTTTTTTAACTAAACCTCTTGATATTCAGAAATTATATTAGACCTTTAATATTCCAAAGTTGAGCCGATATTAGTTCTCATAAAGAGAACAGTCCTCTTAGTATTTGTCTCTTTATTTATAAAATTTAAACTTAAAATCTTATTTGAGAGAAAACGAATTTCTTTCACTTAAATTAATAAATTGTTGGTTACAAGTTTCTTTGATTGATGAAAAAAAAAGCAAGATTTAATTTTATAAATCGATGATGATAAAATCTCTCTTCTAAATAACGATAAGCACCGCATAAATGATGCAAACGCACATAAACTCCGACTAAAAAACCAGAGCGGAACCATCCAAAAAAGTTGACATTGGATTTAGCTTCCATGCAACCAAAGTCAAGTATAAATAGTTCTAACACTTTGCATGGATGACAGAGCAGATCTTTTGAAGATTTAAATACTGTTTCTTGAAGCCTTTCGGTGCATAAACTTCATTAAGAGGTCAAGAAGCAAATCCCTTCAAAGAATCAGCATTATATTCATTTCTTGACCTAACTGCTGCTAACAACTTATATATCCCCAACATGCTACTTCAATATAGAGTGACCTTAAAAATAATTTTGCTTACATACCCTTACAAAATGTAGAAGCCAAACTTTTTAACATCACATAAGCGTGTAAGAGTTAATTTTTCTTACCCCCTTTAAATTTGTTTCTGTAAAATGTAGAAAACAAACTTGTCAATTGTTTGCATGTAACAAAACTTATATTTAAGTCAATTTCAGATGAAGATATAGTATATATTCTACCACAGACTTCAGGAGAAGAAACTAGACTACCAACATATCCTGATTTAATGGATATCACACAGATCCAGCAAACCCTTAACCACAATTCTACCACCCAACTTGCCTTTTCTTCATATTCTTTAAATGTTCAATGCGTATGGAACTACAATTATGAGTAACTTGGTCAACATGATATCTTATGTATTTGATGCAAATGCCAACAAGATTTTATGCACACAGTAATCGAAAGTGATACAGCACAGCTAATATAGGGGAATGCATATTAACTTATTAAGGCTTATATCTGGATGATAAAATTGTGCAATAAAGTGGTGAATTTCAAATCTGAGATGTTGACCGGAAAAGTTTGTGCAAGTCACAGCACATGGTGAATTCTAAATGCAGATTTACTGCATCTGCTCAGAGCCACATCTTTCAAGAATCAAGAGATAAAGAGCAGACCATATAGCATGTTGAAAAGATCCTCCACCCTTTGAAGTCATAAAATTGTTGGTAAAGCAAACGCTCTCTATAAGCATCAGGTCACTATGGTACTATGACAAACCAAAGTCTAGAAACTAGAGAATACGAAATTACAAGCTTCTCTTAGTATAACAATTTCAACCAAGCTATTGCTTGTAGTAGGGATCCAGTTATGGCCAAACTGACAGCCCAAAGATGAATTTGTGGAAAGAGATACAGTCGTGTAATAGTCTTTATTAATCCATTTGAACTAGCAATTCTTTTAAGTTTAACAGCTGCCTAGACCATGTTAGCAGTTTTTCCTTTCCCACAAAGTTTCTAAAGGAACGTTTATCAACAAATTTAAACTTCTCAATGGTGAATATAATATTAACTAATGCATGAAAGAAAACCATGTAAAAAGCAACTGTCATTAATACCATTAAGCGCATCACATATACAGGAAAAAGATACTGAAGATAATTACAGCATTCATTTACTCAAACTCACCCGACACAAGTGCTCTGCAAGCACATCCCTGATCCTCTGCCCGCTCACATCCATTTCCCCTTCAAAAACCGGCAGCGCCACTGCCTCTTCCTCACTCGAGCATCCAACGTTTTCATCCAGAGGAAGCTCACTCCACTGGATCATGAAATTATGCAGCAGACAACCCGTAACAATTACAACTGGGAAGAACTCCAAAGATTCTGCTTTCCACTTCTTAGAAAGAAGCTGCCAGCGAGACCGAAGTCTTCTAAATGCAGTGGAAACTAGCTCCATTGCCCGACTATGTGTGGCATTGAACTCCCTTTTTGGTGAACCAAAACTATTCCCCTCCTCATTGGACTTTACATAAGGGGTTATTAACCACGGCAAGAGAGGGAAGCAAGAATCACCAAGAAAGTACTGAGGAATGGAATTGCCGTCACGGAGCTTATAACAAGGTCCATTCAACAATTCAGTGGACTCCTCCACACGCAGAAACAGCTTTGCTTGGCGCAAAATTGTTTCTGGTTTCATGGTACAGGGCCATCCTGCAGAGACATCCAAAAATTTACCCTCGGAGTCAACCAATGCCTGTACCAAAATCGATCCATTCAATCCCATAAGCTCACCATCAACCCCAAATCGCCCAAAACCCAACACCCCGCAACAATTGGGAAGCGAAATCCACCCAAAACCCACCACAATGCGGTTGATATCAGCTTCAAAATCGAGCAAATTCCCTAGCTTTTCGTTGATCAGTTTGCAGACGATGTAGAAGGCACGGCAGGCGTCAGCAGAGGAGGGAAAACCAAAGCGAAGGGCAAGGGTTTTGTACGAGACACCATGGGAGAGGCGGAAGAGTGCAGCGGCAAGAGAAGACTCTGGATGAAGGGAGAAAGGCAGAGAAGGAGAGAGGGCAGAGAGGAGTCGAGAGAAGGTGGGTTTTGACATTCGGAAATGGTGAGCCCATAGAGTGTCTGTGACGGAAGGGGGAAGTGTTAGGAACCGATGGAACCAGGGGGAGGAAGATACATGAAATGGTGTGCGAGTAGGAGGAGGAGGAGGAAGAAGATAGGAAAGGCAGGAGAGGAGAGATTCGAGGGAGAGGGATTGAGAAGGAAGCAGGAGAAGGTCGGAGTGAATGAGGAAGGAGTAGGCGGCGGAGGTAGCAGAGGATAGTAGGGAGAGCAGTTGCGGGGTTAGACGATTCTGGCGTTTAGGCTTTTTGGCTTTGCGTATGGTGGAAGGGTTTTTAGGAGAGGGATTGCCGCGAGAAGGACCGGCCGCCATGGCTGTTGCAACCTCACAAGAACGAGAACTCTCTGAATTCTGGCCTTTCCAATTTTACCAGTGCTAGTATCTTTTTTTTGGTTTCTAAACTTTGAGTTTTGAATTAAGTTAGTCCTTAAACTTTAACAACTATCAAAATAGTCTTTAAACTTCAATTGGTAGTGCCATTTTCGTCCTTCTATTAGTTAAATCCTAACGTAGTAGGACCATTTTTTTCTTTCAAAAATTCATTTTTTATAAAATTTTTAATACTACTTGGAAATGACATAAAAATTCTTTGCTTACTTTTTTTAACAAATTCACAAGGGACCGTATTTGAACCGTTACACTGAGGTAGAGAAATGTATTTATACGTGGTTTGACGTTATTGGACCGAAGACCCAAGTGCAATTCTTTGCTTACTTGGCATGGCTTCCACCATCAAAAGAAATCCAAGTACATAGAGATTGTCTTTGAAATTGTTTTTTATACAATATTTTATAAAAGTGTTAATTTAATATTAAATTAAATTAAATTAATATTTTATATAATTTAATAATTATATTAATATATAAATTTTTTCAAAATAATTATTAAACAATAATATAATTTTTATATTCAAATATTAAAAAACTATAATTATAACATTTGCAACAATCTCAATAAAATAATTTTATTTACACAATTACCTTCTCAACTAGTTTAATTGCACAATGACCCTCATTACTTGCTTAATTACACAGTTGCCTCATATTGAAATTACAAATTAACCATCACCACCTTCTTCTTTACTGCCCTCACTTGCTCTCTCATCCACTGCTTTGAAACTTAGATCGAACTAGTTAGTTCAACTTGATTGTGCAGAATTGGTCTTAAAAATGGGCCAAGTTATGATATTAGTCTGATAGTAGTTAAATCTAGTTATTTTTTAATAGGAAATGATTTTTGTATAATTTTTTTATCATATTTTTTTGTATAATTTGAGGTGTCATTAAAATGATTAATTATTTTACTTTACGTAAAGCTCATGATATTAAATGCATTAATTTATTTAATAACATATAAAAATTGTATAAAAAAATAATATAAAAAAATGTTCAGCACCACCCAAATTTGATCAACATGCCGTCAAACCCACCCATACTTAGTTAAACTCTCCCAAACCAAGTACTAGTTCACTTTTTTTTTTTCTTTTTTTCTACATCTAGGTGAGGGCGAAAATCAACATTTAACCTTTCACTTTACAAAATTAGTAAATTTTAACCTATCACCTTATAACATTACAATTTTAACCATTTATCTTACAAAATTAGTAAATTTTAACTCCTCAGGTTTTAACCATTTAGCTTATATTATAATATTTTTAAACAATCACTTATACAAATTAAAAAAAATAACTCTCACTTAACATCAGGTTATAATATTCTGTTAGTTTGTTAGTTGACTGTTAACATTTGTTAGTATTCTGTTATAAAAAATATGAAATTTAAATTTAATTTTATTTGTTAGTTTCATTAACAGAATGCTAACGGATACTAATAGTCAGCTAACGGATGCTAATAGTCAACTAACAGAATTAATAGTCAACTAACAGGATTGACAATCAACTAACAGAACTAATAGAATGTTAAAACTTGATATTAAATAATGACTATTTTCTTCAATTCGCACAGATAAGGGATTAAAATTATTATAATATAAGATGAGGAACTAAAATCTATCAACTTTGTAAGGTGAGGGGTTTAAACTTATCAATTTTATATAGTAAAAGATTAAAAGTATCATAGGTTAGGGGTTAAAACCTTAAAGTGTGCAGCTAAATGTTGGTTTTAGCCTCCAGCTGAGAACCTAGGATCGGGTTCTTCAGTGAACCCAGATCTGGGTTTTTGTAAGACATGAATAAGCCCTCCTTTGCTCAAAATTACAAGTGCAAAAAACAAACTTGAATCTAATTAACTGATGAAATCGACCCTGAAGCCAGAGGTGGCGACTAAAGGTGAAAGCTCTTCGGCGATTCTAATATCTTCGGGTGAAAATCCGGTGGTTGTTAGGTTTAAGCGCAAAGCTTCTCAGTCTCTACTCCATGCTATCTGCGAGTCATCATTATTTGCTGCTTTTCTGTTTCTTCTTGCACGCTCTGTTTCTTCTTTTAGTCTAGAAAATTGAAAGATGTACCAAGGAATCTATGGTTCTACCAATTTTCAACTGGACTAGGACACATAATGTGGCGGAAGTATCTCAGACGGATTATGACAACTACACAACCAACAATCCCCTGAGCATCCAACAGAGCAGCCCTGCTAATTTCACCCTAACCACCAGCGGTTCCCCCTGCCCCATCTGCACCGTTCCAACTCATTGAGAGTAGGGCCTGAAGGTGATTGTCAATGTTAGACAATGGAGTTCTGCTTCATCTCTAACAACTAGTGTCATCTCTATCCTTGTCTTTACTGCAGCCATCTCTCTTGAGATAGAATGCAAGTGTGTCACCGTGCCACAAAAATAACCTAGTCGGCCCTAAACTTGTTAAGTGGGAAACTTTAAGCCCTTCAACTCCACGAGTTTGAGGCTTTAACACCAATTCAACGGTGGAAAATTCACGTGCCCCTTCTCATTAATTTAAGTGTATGGATTTGCTCTTAGGGAGGTTGCCCCTTCTTTGAGCAATGGTGAGGTCGGTGATTTCACCGTTAATACATATTAACGTAATCAATAACTCAAAACACAAACTGGAAAATCATTTCTCTCTTCTTGTCCCTCTTACTCTATCACTATAATTAAAAGAGTAAATTTTTTTAAAAAAAATTTCAACAACTCCGCTCTGAGATTGCAACTCTGTTCTCAAAAAGATAAGGAAAAAAGGAGGAGACTAAGATTCGACTTTCATGTCTCAAAAAAGTACAAGGAAAATAGAAACCATACTAACCCAGAAGCCCTTCATGGTAAAGCTGTGCCTATTCCTCTGAACTTCCCTCATCAATTGACCACTGACCCAGTAACCTCAACTACAGAGCCAAAATTCACCATATAAATTAGTTCATGAAGAGGACAATATTAAAGTACCAATTTTTTTGGCCAAAGAATAGAAAAGTCAAAGAAAAAGAAGTCACCACTTGGAACCATGTTGCATGGACACCCTAAGCAATCATATACTTTTTGAAAAACATTTGAGTATATTTTTGAAGTGTATTTCTTGCAAGACGGCAAGCCCCAACCTCTAGTACTCTTGAATCGGGTTCTATAGAGAACCTACATAGTATTCTCATCAAAGTATCCAATCCAATCTGAGTACTGGAGAACCCACACGAACCCAAATTAAAATCTCGTAAGAACTTATATCTGAGTTTCTTGGGGAACCCACATTAGATTCTTGTTGAAATAAAATAAAAAAATGAGATGAAGGCATATAAGAGGAGGAAAGAAAAAAATGAAGACGGTGGAGTCATGGAAGACAAAGGTGGAAGAATACACGTAGAAACGATTATCCCCTGTTATATTGGTTCCGCTGAGTACCTCAAAAATATTAGGCATAACCACACTTCATGAATACAATTTAGGGGCATATTCAAGGGTTGAGGATGAAGCTTCTATTATGAATACATACAACCACCATGTTTAAACTTCCTTCTAGATTTAGCCATATCATTAGATTATCATGTCACTTTACCATGAAAACAGCAGCGACGTGATCTTGATGAAGAAAAAGAGTAATCCACCCAAATAGAGGATGTAGTAGGAAGCAACCTTTGTACTTTCCCAGCAAAAGATTAATACTTTCATTTAACTACTAGTTATAATTTATAAAATGGTTATCTGGATCTTTGATATATTATACAACAAGAAAAAGAACCTCCATCTCCTACCTCCATTTCCATTTCTTTTCCAAAAGGAAACTAGCTGATGCAAGAAATCACTGCAGCCTGTTTAACACCCCTGCCATTAATTGAATCAAATTTGAAAATTTGTCTTCGCATTGCCGAAGAGAGCTCATTGCCGAAGCATTTACCTTTTTCCAAACACACAAAAGGAAGGAAAGAATGAAGCATGGTTCCATCTTCCATAATGGCAAAAGATCAATGAAAAATTTTTATGATGCTAAGTGGCAACCAAGGAAAGCAATGACAAACAGATAAGAAGAAACAAGAAAGAAAGGAAGAAAAGAATAAACAATGACTAAATCAGGTAGCTGCAGAGGAAAGGAGATTCACACTGTCTTACCAAGATTCAAGGAGAGCCTTCCTTCCGCTAATAAGTTTTTGTTTCCTTCAGTGACTCATTTTTCATCTGCAATTTTAGCCATTTCATCAGATGAAGCTTCTTCAAAAAGTTGACCATATCTACCTGAAAACCTTGAAAAAATGTACCTTCTCAAGGACTATATCAAAAAAGGACAAATGTATCAAAGCACAAAAATATCAATATTTATCATTGAGATGAGTTAAACTATTGACAGCCTTCTGTGCTCCCACTCTGTTCCTTTACCCTACATAGTAATTCACTAGCCCACCCATAACCTACTCTTTTATCTAGTATCCTTCAAGTTTACTTGCCATCTGCATATCCAAAAACCAAAATAACAGTTTTAGCAAGATTTACTAACATGTTTAACCTAGTATGAAAGGATTCACTGACATGGAAAAAGTGGCAAACTATAAGGTGTTATTTATGTAGCTAGCAAGGACACCAAGCATGCCAACATTTAAAGAATGATTGGTACCGCTGCTCATGAAACTGCTGCAATATACTGACAAATTAAGCAATCAATGCATTATAAGCATGTAAAGTTTGTTTCATTCTGGGACATTCTAAGTACATCTGAGCTTTAGCCAGCTATACAACAAGTGAAACCCGGCTCATCGTAAGGTTTGACATGAAATCTCCAATTTGAAAGTTCCATGTTCAAACTGTTGGGAAAACCCCCAAGGGGCTTCTTCAAAATTAACAAAGGTGGTTCTAGGATATAGTAGTATTCATCTACATTCTATGTTTTTATATGACCCTCTTCGTCAACTAACCTTAGCTCTCCTTCTCTGTCATGAGAACTACAGACTGATCAGTTTGACATTATGAGGGTAAACATACTATATATTGTGCTAAACTAAACAGAGATATCAGTTAAGACTAAATCAATTTACAGTTCACTTTTCAGCAACATCCCAACTCATAGCTCATGGTAAGCATGCATAGTTTACAATCAGAACTACATTGATAATTAAGATTGCAAATGATGATGCTCAGCACATCTTGAATTTTGATGGATATTAGTTACAAGACAAAAATATAGTCTACAAACCTGGTCTACTTATTCGACTATTATACTGGTTGGATGGCGGCTCAAATTGCGTGAAAAATTGTCCATCATCCAAACTGTCACCAGATGGTGCCTTCCGCTTTCTCATAGTAGCCCCTAAATTCTGACCTTCTAGAAGCAACTTTCTTGATGATGAACCAATAGGATCATTGGCTGTTTTTGCCGGAAAAAAACATAACTCCTTATTCTTCTGTTGAAACACGTCACTGTATTTAGCACCCTCCTGAGAACTGCTTGGACCCAAATCTTCAGTTTCACATATCGAAATTTTTCCTGGTCTTACGCTGGGGTCTGAAAATAGACCCAATCGCAAGGACAAATCACATTGTGTCCCAGTTGACTTCTCACGGATGTCCCTGACATCTACATTTCCAACTTTTTTACAAGAAACATCAACACCAGTAGAAGAGAAAATGCTTCTCAAAGCACCCATGTCAGAAGGCTCTGCTATTGATTTACCAATAGGTGTCCCAACAATTATGGTATTCGAGTTGACATTTTCTTCGATGTGAGAACCTGTTTGAGACTCAGAAGGCTGCAAGTGAGCTCCATAATAGACAGGATAAAGTGTACCCAAATTCACTGGGGTATTAACGTCCATTCTCATCAACTGCTTCTGCCTAGTTGGGCTACTCTCATACAGAAATGGATTGTTGTGAGGTGCTGTGGAGTCACTGTTTTCAGCTACAGGGCAACTAGACTGCACAAAAGGAATAGTATTGGTAGCTCCTCTAGCAATGTTCAGTTGATTGGCTGAGTGAACTGATGGATACCGATGACACCCTTCCTCAGCACTTCTATCCAAAACACTAGGAGCTAAACGAGCAGGTTCTTGTGCTCTTGGGCTGAGGTAAGTCCTAGGGTTAATGTGCCTTTGGCTCCTCGAAGCTCTCACAGGAATGCAGCCCAAATTAAGGGCAGCTAAGCAACATAAAGATGGGGAAAAGAAAAATGGCATATATGGATTAGAATCTCAATTTAAATGAGTTCCATTTTGTGCATCCAGAATGAGAACAACACATAGACATAAGCTTAATCCAAATGAAGGCAAAAACACAATATAGAATCATTACCTTCAACACAAGGTGGTAAAAGGTCTCCTGTTTCAGTGCTCTCATCTCTCCGGATAATTGTGTTTATAGCATCATTTACACGGTCCCATAACGTATCGTGGTTCATGTATTCAGCCTACGAATGATAAAGCTCAGCAAAATGAGTCAAATATTTTCCAGAAGAAAAGAGGGAAATATAACAGAAGATCCAAGAAACCATAAGCAAAATCACGAGCAAAAACCTCAGAATTGGCTTTGGAATACATAATCTCCTCTGCTTTCAACACAACAGTAGGCAACTTCTCTTGCCATTCCTTGTTCTTTTTAGTAGCAGGACTATGAGTATCAGTGACGAGCCTAATCAAACACATGGTGTGCAATCAGAAACAACAAAAATGCACATATAACAGCAAGAAATTAACCCAAATAGAGAAGACCCAGAACCTGAAAATCTGCTGAATTATGCAACCTCTCATAGGTTGGTGCCTATCGCTGTGCCAAGCCCTCCTGACACATTCATAAGGTCTAGGGCCTGGTCTTGGCATCTTCAAGGGAAGAAGAACTCACCCAGAAGACCCAAAAAGAGGCGATACTTGTGCTTCAGTGGGGAGAAGAGAGTGATGGCAGTGAGTGCCTACATGGGGATTCAGATCTGTCAATTCTTGATGATGTTTTTTTTTTTTCCTTTGCTGTTTCTTCTTTTCAAAAACCCAGTTTTGCAAATGGGGGTCTTTTCCTTCTTTTGGCTGGGGAAACAGTACGCCAGCGAAGGGTTGCTTTCGCTTTCCCATGCCTTAGTTTTCCCCCAATAATTTAAGAGGGTTTACCATGTTTCGATGCACAGTCACTGCATTACAAAGTCTGATTAAAATCTCAACCTACTCTCTTTTCTTTGCCGAGGGAGTTGAGTAATGAGTGGGTATCAAAAGGTGTCCTGGCTGTGCTTGTGCCTCCATCTGCATTATAAATATAAAGTCCCATTAAAAATCTTCCTGGCCATTCCCTCAGCGGTTGGTACATCAATTTCCCACATTTTATCTCTTCTTTGATACCCAATTTTCCATAAAAGAATCTTCCTATGAGAAGATTAAAAATAACTGGTGTAATAACCTTATTGCTATGTTTTTTTTTTTTTTT